GACTGAAATTCACCACGGATACCTCGTTGTTTTTAATAGAATGTTGGTTATTGTAGAATTTCATCTCCGCATTGTTGAGTAGTTTTTTATGGGAGCATTTTACTGTTCTGATCTTGTAGTCTTTGTAAACTGTATGCCTCAGATCGATAGTTCGGGTAAATCTCCTAGGGCTAGGGTAATAGTTTTCTTTTTTTCTGAAAGACTCCTTAATTATGTTATCTAAATTCCAGGCAACTTTTACGCTGTCTGCAGAAAATTTGCCAGATTCAAACGAAAGAAGGCCTTTTACTTATTTCAGGTTTGACATGTTTTTTGTCAGTTTTTTGATCATGAATTGTCGTTTGTGATTAATCGCCATAGCTTTGAAGTATCTGTTTTTGTAGAAGTAGTAAATGTAGCGCTTTGCGAAGTTTCTTTTGTTTCGGATTGGGTGATTAAATACAGGTTTACTCGAAGAATAGTTTGAGCCAAGGGGCAAAAAATTTAGCTAAAGGCATGTTAAATTTACCGTGAAAACCAGAGAAATATAACAAAATTTTGCAAAAAAAGCGAAAAATCCAGTCAAAATAGTGTTAGATCCAATCAAATCAGTATTAAATTCAATTTTCTGAAAGATGAGATCGTCGCAGTTTGTGCCCAGTATTTTGTGAGTTTCAGCACCTATAATACTTATCGGAAATCATCGCATAACGTTATGTGCGTCGAGAAATGGGAACGTTTTCGTGAGAAAGTGGTGCATAAGGGAGCAATGGATATCATTGTTATGTTGCGTAAACTTCCAGCCACCAAGCATCTTATGGACACCTTTGTGGTTGATGTTTCAATGACAACGGTAAGTTTGATGCATCATTTTTATGCATTTTTTACATTTATGCATTTCAAGAGCGCATATTGCCGAGAGGTTGTCTATGTGTGTGTGTGTGTGTGTATGTACATATGTATGTATGTATGTGTGTGTGTATGTATGTGTGTGTGTACATATGTATGTGTGTTTGTGTCTGTGTGTTTGTCTTTACCGGTTTTCCGTCTCGAAACCTACGAAAGCTGCAGGGCTGGAACTTCGACAACTTGACCTACACACATGTACGGGCGCTCTTGGAAGTGTGGTTTCCACGAACAGGCCTCTGAAAGTTTTTGGCGGAGAAGTTGCTAATTCGGGAACCGGAGAAGCTAGAAAGCTAAAATTTTAAGGGGATGTTCTTCGTGCATGTATATCTGATGACTTCAGATTCAACCTCCAGATGATTCTCATTTATGGCCCCATGAAAGTTTTTGACGGGTAGGTTGCTAACTCGAGAATTGGAAAAGCTGAAATTTTAAGGGGATTTTTCCTGAAGTCATGATAGCCAGTCTCAGTTTTTTTAGTTAGAATCATCTGCCTGAAAGAGCATGCCGTTAGCGATCAAAAGCATCGGGGGACTGTGCAAAAAACATATCTTCGCACTTGCGGTCGGTGCGCTGGCCAATTACTGAATATTCTGGAAGAAGGGTTACTGCCAAACGTAGTTTCAATTTAAAAGGATTGGTTTTTTTATTTATAGAAACCAGGGGATTGTTTATCCAGGAATGCATTGATGCAACCCTGAAGCTGTAGCGGCGAATGCAAATTATTAGCCGGCATCGCATCTTACCTACATTTATGAGGAAAATGGGAAGTAGTTGAATTTGACATATTAATCAAGAAGATTTCATCAGAAGCTAATATTTTCTACGATTTACGGAAAATTTTGACAAAGGAATTGTGGGAAAGCGAAAAAAAAACTCATTATGCAATTGCAGGCAAAGCATATGTGTTTCGCAGTTCACGGATTCTTTCGCGACAGCATGACTAAAGTGCAAGATGACGATGAAGTGAAATTCTTTTGCCGCAACTTCGTCGTTGTGAATAAAGGCGAAGGGTAAGTCTTCAGTGCTGTTGAAAATTTGTTCATATCTTTAGAATTTTCACCCCGCGGATGAAAATGATATGTTGGGTCAGAGTATTAGTTAATCCATATAAGCGTATTTTATTTACTTTTTAGTAATCACTACAAAAAGGCAGTACGGGCCTGAAGGGCCCCTGTGAGGAAAAGGAAAGTGGGGCTGGAATAACAGCCCCGTAGCCACAGCACTACCCAGATTTTCGTAAAAATTCGCGATTAAAGAAAGAAGAATACAAAATAAACTAAAAAAAGGGGTCCAGATTTAACTTTATTGATTATCGAGATGATACTGTTTCGGACTTAAATTTTGCTTATGATTTAAAGCTGTCGCTCGGGAATTATTCCCCTCACTTTTTCTCAGATTGGCACTGAGATGAATAGTGTGCCAAAGATTCAAAACTTCTTTAGTTTTGCTCCTCAGATAGTCATGGGAAAAGGCAAACGAGCGGCAGTCAACACTTTTTCATTTTAATACTTTCGCTAAGTGGAGAAATACAGTTTAGGACTGAAAGGTTCTGGCACAGCTACTTGGGGCATGTAGGTTTAACCCAATAATTTCGGACCTTCTTGTGAGTTCTCCCGTAGTTAGTTTTGGCAATTTCTATAATATCCTGTAGCATTTTTTGATTCTGTAATGGATGTTTTTATAGGAAAATAGCAGTTCTTAGCGATATACTATTTGTCAGTGGAGTGTTCACTGAAAGGATACAACGTTACAAGTCGATGATTACCAGTTTGATAAAGGTTTTTTTTCCTCTTATTTTTTGTATATTTTAATTTAATTCCAATAATTAGCAGTACAAGAAAGGAGCCGTTTCTGCATCGAAAATTTCCTTAGGGGATTTCAGCCTTCTAGCTTCTTTGTTTCCATGCTGTGTTGGTGACAGGTTCCGAACACACACACACACACACACACACAGACACATAAACCAATAGTCTCCTGTTCATTTATATTTTTTGCATTTTACTTACGATGAGAAAACTCAGAAAAATTCGGTGTACTAGAATCGTTTACTGTTTTTACGCCGTGGTCAAGCAGATGAATAAGTTGCAGCGATATGCAATGCAGGATTCGTTTCTGACAAATTTAGACTTTTTTAGGCGGTCCCGGATACAGGAACTTCAATGAACATGGATGGAGCAGGTGGCAGCATGTCTGTTGGAGATGGTGCTGAGAATCGTTGGTTGGCAGAACCGTCGCCAGCTCCTCAGTCATCAGTGCCGCAGCCAACCCCAGCGCAGTGTGCTCTGGCAGGAGACTTACAAATGCAGGAGCAGATGGTTGCAGCATTTAGCCAGGAAAGTAAAATGAAGCCGGAATGGTCGAGAAAATGCCTGCTTGATCAAGATTGGGATTACGAGGTTCGTTTTGGCTGAATTTCTCAGTCCTCTCCGTTCAGTTTTGCAAAAAATCTTCCATTTCGCTGTAGTAAAATTCTTCAAAATCCAGCTGTACTGGCTTATAAGTAGAAGCATGTTTAACATGCCGAGTAACTAATATATTATGCATTATTTAGCGGCTTCTTCAGCTTGTGTGTGAGATGAAACATTTTTCTGTGCCGACTCATGTTAGGCCTTGTCGATGTTTTTGTTAGTCCTAAGCTTTCTGTAAAGAACCTATGCATCTTATTATGTGCCCTTCGAACACAGTACCATCCTTATGCCATGACTTGGTCAAATTTACTGTTCATGGGCCATTTCCCCTGAAAATGCATTGCTTTTGCTTTCCCCCTCCCCCACCCCCCTCTTCGGCCCCTTCCCGTTCTCTCGGAAGATATTACTTCGACAGAATATCCCGCCTTTTTTGGTAATTTTTATCCACATTTCCTCCCCCGCCACTCTCAGTATTAGGATTGATTTCTGTTTCGTGCATTCCTTCGTTATACGCAGCTGTTTTGATTTTTCAAGACAAAAAGATGAGAAAGTGGGATTTCTCAGTGTTGATAACAGTTTTGCGGTACTTGTCGTTTGACTACTGCGGCTGTCGGAGGGTTCAGTTGTAGTGGAAAGAGCGGGAAAGAGGGAAAATGTTGATGTAAAATTGGTGACACCGGGACGGTAACAGACCTCAGTGGTTGGTTTACAAAGCAGATCGTTTAAAACGATACGAATTTCAAGCGTGCTCTCATTACTGTGGTGTAGTTACGTGTCTTTAGTTTCTACTGTATACGTATATGTTTTCAGTTTCTAGACGGCTTAAAAATGAATTTAAGGACTCTTATTTTCTTTTTTGATTGTATCTGTGGCTTTTTGCAGGCTGCT